AGTCTAGCTACTGTGGAAAGTAGTTGGGAGATGTCAAGAACTTAAAATGGAGCTACCATTTTATCCAGCAAACCCATTACTGGGTATATACCTAAAGGAAAATAGACAAAAAACATTAACTTGTATGTTCATTGATGAGCTATTTACAACGGCAAAGACATGGAATCGACCCAGGTGACCATCAATGGTAGACTGGATAAAGAAAATGTGGCATTTATACACCATGGAATACTATGCAACCATAAAAATAATGAAATCATGACCTTTGCAGCAACATGGATGGAGCTAGAGGCCATTACCCTAAGCAAATTAACATAGGAATGGAAAACCAAATACTACTTATTCTCACTTTTAAATGGGAACTAAATATTGAACACACATGGACATAAATATGGAAACAATAGACACTGCAGACTACTAGGTGGTGGGTTGAAAAACTACCTATGGGTACCATGCTCACTCTCTGACAGGTTTACCAAACCTCGCCGTCAGGTAAAATTCCCATATAACAAGACTGTACGTGTACATCCTGTATCTGAAATATAGGTTGAAATTTTAAAATAGATAAGTAAACAAGCAAAAGAAAATGAAAAAAGAAAATCGCCTTTTTAATTAGTTTTAAAATATCACAGATTTACCCCGGGGAAGTAGATAATGACTGGCTAACTTTTAGTAGCTACGAAAATCAGTAATTGTTAGCATGACTGAAAAGAAAAAAAGAGCATCTTAAGTACTCAGGAGAATAATGTCCCTTAACAATCTGGCCCCCTCTAAGAAAAATGTCATTTTCATTTATGACAAATTTAAGAATCAGATGAATTTAGAGTTAAATTTTCTAATTGCTATTGAATGAACAATTAAGAAGGGAAACAAAGAAGGGAAATATATAATTTACTGTCATCATAAATATTCATAAGCATGGATACTATTCTTGTTTTTCTGGGGGAAAACTAAGCTTCAGATATTTTGAAAAGTTTTTCCAAAGTGACACAGAGATTCATTGACTTAGGATTCAAATCCATACCCCCTGACTCCTCAGTCAGCCTACCTGTACTTCCCTTGGGAGTTATTGATCCTTTTAATGGAAAATATTTTACTCTATTATATTAGACAGAATTATTTTTTTGCCAACGTGTGGTTCATCCTGCAAGAGATGTGAGAATGCCTGTCTCATTTACTTTAGGCTTGGATATGTGTCATGCTTTGTTCAATGGGATGGGAGTACAATAGCATTGCCCCATCATAGCAGAAGCTTTAAATAGGATTGTGTGATCCTCTCTGGCTCTCTTGTACTTCTCCCCTTTACCTCCAGCATGGTACTCAGAGCAAGTTACGCTGGCCCAAGCTGAAAAGACATGGATTACAACTGAGTTCAGTGAAACTCCAGCCATTGAGCAGTTCTCATGTAATATGAGCAAAAAATAAAAGTTATGTGGGTTATTTAAATTTTTACTACTACTGCAAAAACTGAAAACATATATTTTATTCAACTTCTACCTTTATTAGGTCCTGCAACTATTTTGTCAATATTTTTAAATAATGTACATATAATGAGACCTACTACCTATTATTCTCAGACAAGGCAGATTCTGCCTTTATAAGCAAATAATATGATCTTGCAATTATGCAACAGTAGGAATGAATTTAGGGCACTACAGAGAGAAATTATCTTATGTTCTTGTTATCTCCTTTGGGTCATGTAGCAAGATTTTTTCTAGGAAAAATGTCTCCTCTCCTGTAGCCCTCAAAAATGAGTAAGTATACAAACAAAACTTTTATATGCACCAGTTGTAATTGAGATAACAAAAAAGAGTAATATCAAAACAATATTCAAAGAAATTGTTTTCCATAATATACTCTATAGCTGAAATTTACTTACTCATTGATTGCAGTCAAATTATGCAAAAGCTAGTTATTCAGATCTCACTGGCCCACTAACAGAACGATTTACCTAAAATGTAATTCTACATGATATTGCCAATTGATATTAAGTGCCATTATAAAAAAATACAGTCTCATGGAACTCATTTCTTAGTCTCTTTTAAGAATAATTTGAAAATATTGTTTACTACACAGCAGAGAAATTTCTGTCTGCAATTTGTACAAAGAATAATATACTTTTCATTAGCAAATGTTTGTTTTGATCTTATCTTTGGAGTACATTTGTCTAACTAACCAGGTTCCCGTTGTTCTTTTCAATATTAAAAAGATAAAGCTAAATTTGGCATTTATTTTTCTTAGATGTATTTTCCTATCATATCATATTAACTTCTTGGTCGTTATTTCAATTTTTATCATTTTATATCCTATGTGCCATTGTAAATCCCCTAAAACTTGTAAATCCCCTAGAACAAATTATGGCATCATTTTAGAAGTACACTGTTTCATGTGTGTGTGTGTATATATATATATATATACAGATTATATATATATACAGATTATATATATATAATTATAATTATAATTTTTACATGAATCTATACACATCTTTAGCTGCTTTCCCAAAATACCAAGGTGATAAAATAACGTATCTTTGGTTTCTTAGTGTAAAAATTACTTTCTATGTAATACCTAGGATCTGTTTAAGCTAAAATAATATAACTCTATAAATTCGTCCTCTTAAAACTAACATGCAGTCATTTTCTTCCACACCCACTACCAATGAGAGTAATATAGGAATAAGCCTCCCTTTTACAATACCTACTTCTTTCACATAGCTCTCAATAAAAACACCATGCTTCTCACACTTTCATGTGCATGTTAATCACCTTAGAATCTTGTTAAAATGCAGCTTCTGATTTAGTCATTGTGGAGGGTCTCAGATCCCATTTCTTACAAGATGCTGCTGATGCTTGTATTCAAGTAACTAGTGGAAGGGATTAGACTCAGCTAAATGCTACAGTAAATAATTTGTTATCCACCTATGCAGGAAAAATTTTAAGGTGATCTCAAAATTGTAAAATATAGCAGGAAATTGAAAGCACATAGGGGCCTGATGTTCCAAAAACTAGTTAAAACACTATATTTAACATACCATTGACCTAAAATTCCCCAACTTTCAATAATGCAGATATTTGCATAATGTAATCTATAAAACCAAAACAGTAAGCAGGAAAATGATGTAAAGAATAATAAATGAGTAAACATTCTTCACCTTGAGGAAAAAGCAATTCTGTAATACCAGAAGCAGAATTTGAGTTACTGAATTTCAGCATATTACAAAAATAAATTCTGGAATTTAAGTTGTATAGTTAGCTTAAAGAAGATGTGATTGTTTATGCATTTTGTTTTGGTTTAAACAAATCTGTTGGCATTCTGCAAAGAGAAACAGAGACAAATGGCTTAAACAGACTTTCACTCTGTGTTTCAGTACACTGCCATAAAACAAGCAAGATGGAAAATTTTTGCTGGCGTTATCACAAGTGCTTACCATAAATATATTATAGTACATGCAGAAAGACTGCAGGGAAACCAGTGCTATCAAACTGTGGATTGATTCCATTCCTACTTTTTATACTGACTGCTTTTGTTTGTTTATTTTGGTTTGCTTTGTTTTGTGTGATTATCATACACAATTGAAAAATGCAGGAAAATACACCATTAATTTTCTCCATTATTTGCAAAATATTAATGAGGAATTATGTAAACATTGATAGTTTTAATGAAGGCAGCTTTTCTTTTTGTGAACTTATGGGTCTAGGAGGATACGAGTGTTTCATGTTATTAAAAACAAATCTGCCTTGACACTAGAGCATTTGCTTTGACGCTAGACTGTGATCTTCTTAGGGGATTTTCATTTATCATCTTTGGACCCTCTGAGCCTAGCATAACTGTTGGAAAATAATTATTTGCCAAAATATTGCTTCTTTATGCTGTAGAATAATAAGAAAAATCTTATTAGCTAAAATTAATGCTATATTAAATTTTAAAATAAGTTTTCTGTTACTTAGAATACCATTTAAGCCTAATTATAGAAGAGTATAACAGTGATAAAGGAGGTTTATCAGACATGTCACCATATGAAGTATTTTATTATGGAAAAAAGTAAACAAGGGAAGAATCGAGCTCTTTATTTCTCTCTTTTTAATTTCACAAAATATATGAGACCACTTTGGGCTTATAAAAGTATGTATCACTTTCATGATGCTTGGAGTTTATATTGTGACCTTTAATTTAATCAACACAGAGCTTACAGGTGCAGGAATTTGAGACTGTTCTAATAGTCATCCACTCCAAAATGTTGGCTCCTCCTCCTCAATTTGCTCAATTAATTCTCCTTCTCTCTTAATGATTAGTGGTGAGATAGGCACAATATTTCCCATATTGCACAACTGAATTATTTTATATATTGAGTACCTATTTACATCAATTATTTACCAGTGAATAAGACCTATATCTGCCTTCACAGTGTTCATAATCTAATTGATGTAGACAGGCACGATAACAATACAGAATCATATGAGTGACACGTTTTAACTCTTTTAAAATAGGAGAAATATCATACATATAAAAATGCTTTTATAGTTAAATTAGCATGATAAAATGACACCCATTGAATGATCATCGAAAAATAAAACACTATCAATACTTATACCACTATGTTCTACTCTTTTTTCTTTCTAAGCCCCTACTCCAGAATGAAATGCTAGCTGAGATTTATCATTTGATTTTTAAAAATGTAGTTTATTAGCTAATGTGTGTGTTTTAGGAGTTTAAGAAATTATTTTAGGCAGATAGGAAAATGTGTCCTTGGGAAGTTTTTGTCTTTTTTTTTTTTTAATTCTTTCTCCGTTTACTTTATTCTCCTGCTGTCTAGCTAAGCAGCCCACACAGAACACAAATGAGTAGCACTGAATAATGATCAGATTTTTTCTGTCCCCAATATTTCTGCTTCCTTCCTAAGCCCTGACCCAATCCTACCTAATAATTAGGAATGGTTAGTACATCATTCTCTCTCAAAAAAGAACAATTGAAATGGAAACAAGACATTAGAGGATTAGGCCTCTTCTTAATAGGGCTTAGGAGCTGGTATGAGCTCTTTATTCACAATGGAGTGTCTCGCCTTCAAAAACCTGGAATTTTTTCCTCCCATTGGTTCATAGATCAGCACTTGACTTTGAACCTAGCACCAAAAGGCCTGATATCTGATACCCTGTACAAGAGCTGTTAGCGATGCTGCCATATGGATGGGCAAAACTGAGCCAATCCTACTTATGAATGGAAGGCTTAGACATGAAAGGGAAGATACAAATGAGGAGTTGGAGAAAAACACAGTCCATACTTTTTTTTTTTAATTGTACATTAGGTTCTGGGTACATGTGCAGATCATGCAGGATTGTTGCATAGGTAAACACATGGCAATGTGGTTTGCTGCCTCCATCTCCCCGTCACCTACATCTGGCATTTCTCCTCGTTATCCCTCCCTCACCTCCCTCCCGCCCCTCCTCCTCTGCAAGCTATCCCTCCCTTGGCCTCCTCCAACAGATCCCAGTGCTGGAGAGGATGAGGAGAAATAGGAACGCTTTTACACTATTGGTGGGAGTGTAAATTAGTTCAACCATTGTGGAAGACAGTGTAGTGCTTCCTCAAGGATCTAGAAACAGAAATTCCATTTGACCCAGCAATCCCATTACTAGGTATATACCCAAAGGTTTATAAACCATTCTGTTACAAAGACACATGCACATGTATGTTTATAGTGGCACTGTTTACAATAGCAAAGACCTGGCACCAACCCAAATGCCCATCAACGATAGATCGGACAAGGAAAATGTGGCACATATACACCATGGAATGCTATGCAGCCATAAAAAATGATGAGTTTGTGTCATTTGTAGGGACATGGATGAATCTGGAAACCATCATTCTCACCAAACTGACACAAGGACAGAGAATCAGACACCAAATGTTCTCACTCATAGACAGTTGTTGAACAACGAGAACACATGGACACAGGGAGGGGAGCCCATACTTTTTTGCTACAGTGGAAATAAAAGTGGGAATGAGGGTCTTGTTTTTTTGTCTTCTAAGGACCAAGAAGCAATTTTAAACTTCCTTGCTTTTTTTGAAAGCAGCATATTCAAAATGCCAGCAAAAACTCCTAACAACTGCAAAACCAAAAGAGGATCAAAGCTCACCAACATCCCTTCTTATGAAAAAGAATCTAAAATTCAGGGTGCCCTGTTCCCTTGCACAAGGGAAAATAATTAAGTTTGATTTATAGTAATCATACCACATTACACTTCTAAAAAAATATTAATATGTGTGATCAGGGGAATGTTTGACACCATTTTATTAACCTTCAACTTCAGTGGAAACATATAACCTTTTTCAAGTGTCATTTTCATCACAAGAGTTCTAGTTAGTGTGTGTGTGTGTGTGAATACACACACACTTCTGCTTTTTCCTTTTGTTTTGTTGGTTAGTTTTGAAGCTCAGCAAGAGACCAATACCACATTGTAGTCAATCAAATAAAAGAACAGAAGGCCAAGCAATTTCTAAATTGTTATTTTATCAGATTGTTTGTCTCTTTTAAAACAGCTCCAGAAATGTTTTTTGTCTAGCAGGAAAGCTCCAGCTTTTAGAGCCCGGCCAGCAACATTTGATATGCAAAACCTGGCCATTAGAAACTGGGTCTACCCAAAAAATGGTGATTCCGGCCTCTTCTTCCTTGCCCCTCATACATCCTCTTATGTATAGAACATCATGACACCCCACATTTGCATATTTAAAGGCTACAGTGGGAGGGCCAGGTTTTTCCACAGGCCATGTGCGTGACATGCCTGGTCAAACCAATCCCTTGAGCCCTATGCAAATCAGACACCACCTTCTCCAGCCTCCTCATGTAAGCAGCCATATTTCCACTGCACACAGGTTTCCTCTCTCAACTTTGAAGCTTCACACTCCCTCTGTCTCTGTACAGGGAAGCTATTTTCTTCTTCCCTCCTTCTTTCTTGCCTATTAGACTTTTCGCTCCTTAAAACCACTCCACATGTATCTGTGTCATTTTATCCAAACTGGCACAAGAACCAAGAATGCTGGTGTTCCCCCACTCATCGAAGCCATATCATATGTATGCCTAAACTAAGGTTGTTTAATTTTACATTTTTTTTACTTAAAATTTAATTTTAAAAAATTGTGTTTTCTGATTTGCTTCTTTGGTTCAAAATTATTATTTGAGGTTTATCTTTGGGAATGCATACATAGTAGTTTATTCCTTGTCACTGCTGCATAAAATTACATTTTATAATTATGCCCTGATGTGTAGATTTATTATACAACTCTTGGACATACAGCCTGATTTGAGTATATTGGTGTTAAGGCAAAATTGCTATGGAAGTTATTATGCTTGGGTTCCAAAGCACATAAAAAACAAGTTTTAGTTTTAAGGAATATGTCTAGTAGTTGAAATGGTGAGCTGTGGAGCAAAAGATCATACAAATTACTAGAATATGACAAATTGTCTTCCAAATTGTTATGTTAATTGAGCTTCCACCAGCAGAGTATAAGAATAATTTTTACTTCATAACTGTGTTGTTAAATATGTTGGTTGCTATAAAGTTAATCTTTATGATGCTATAACATTAAAACCTCATTTTCTCAGTATTATTAGTCATACTGCAAGAATTTAATAAACACACATAGAATCGGAGAACTGAACTGGTGTTATACAGCAAAAGATAGAACATTTGTATCATTGTAGAAAGTTTCATCCATACCTCTGCTCTACATCCCTGACAAAAGTAGGTATGGATCAAAGTTTAAACTTTGATTGTGAATTATTGCATAATTATGGTATTAATTTGTATTTCTCTAGTATTAATAAACATTTTTTCTTATGACAAATTCTATATGTCCATAATTTTTGCCTTTTTTTAGTGAGTGGTCTTTTTTCCTTATTGATACATAGAGGGATTTACATATAATTAGGTTAAAAGATATTGGCCAGTCATATGCATAGCAAATGTTTGCCACTGTGGCTTCTCTTTTCATTCTCTTTGTGTTATCTTCTGATGTGAGGTCTTAATTTCAATTTAATGTATAAACATTTCCTTCATGACAAACATGTTTTATGACTCTAGATATTATTTCATACATCAAATTATAGCAATGTTTTCTTTATATTTTATTCTTAATTAAAATCTTTTATGAAATTGATATTTATATTTAACCTCATAATTAGCATTTTTAAAAAATCAAATTTTTTCCTTCTGGTATAATATTGTATCTTCTTTAGATATTACTTTAGAGAAGAATTATACATAATATACTTTCTACTTTTTATTTTACAAATATGTCCCATTTCCTTCTCATATAGGAAAAATATATATCAAATTGAATTGACAGTGTTTTGTTTTCCCTCTTCAGGATTTTTTAAAATGCAGGGCATGATGACTCACACACATAAGCATACTTTGGGAGGCTGAGATGAGTAAATCACTTAAGGCCAGGAATTTGAGGCTGGAATTAGCTATAATTGTGCAATGACCCTTCAGTATGGGCAACAGGGTGAGATTTTTTATATCTAAAAAGTAAATACATTTTTTAAAAGGCATTCTACTGTCTTCTGACTTCCATTGTTATCACTGAGAAGTCTGCTGTAATTGCTAACTAATCATTCTCCTCATATGTTTTACATATTTTCAGTCTTCTCCTTTAATTATGTAACCATATTAAATAAACTTTTGTTGTATCCTGCACTTGTAATTTTACTGTATTCCTTCTTTTAACATATAATTGCTGCAGTTTTTTTCTGATTTGACTTAAGAGAGAGAGAGAGAGAGAGGAGAAAACAGAGGGAGAGAAAGAGCACTTTTTGTTTTAGGAACATTATCTTGGAGAATATATTGACATTTTCATATGAAGTAAATGTATCCAAAAGGGAGTTTCTTCTGATTCTGTCTGGTGTCTATGTATATATACCAACACTTTGAATAAGAGTATTTTTCCTTAAAGCTAGAAAGTTGTATGAGCCAGATATCATAGCTAAAACATGTAAATGTAGGCGCTGATGAGGGGTTAATAATTTCCAGGAGAAACCTTCTCTTTAACTGTCACCAAGTTCAAGATAATTTAATATACTCACTGGCTTCCTTAATAGAATATGTTTTATTTTTCCCAAACTGAGAAATTTGCCATTTAGGCATTTCAGTTCCTAGGGTTTTTTTCCCCCTAATATATGTATTTCACAATTCTATCAATGAATTATGCACACACACACACACACACACACACACACAGTCTTCAAAAATTTCATAGTAAATTCATAACATGAAAAAAAATTATGGATAAATTTAAAAATTTTTTTGCACCAAAATAAACTGGTAGGAACTTGTTATAACATGTCTCGACAGGATCTAATTTGAGGTGCCAAGAAGGACAAGACATCAGTTTGAAAAGAGCTCCAATCAGAGCAACATAAGTTCTTCTAAAATTGAGTCAAGAGCAAACATCACATTTATGTTGAAACTTGCATGGGAGAATGGTGAAATCATTGATGCTTTATAAAAAGTTAATGGAGACAATGCACCTCCCTCCAAATTAGTAAATGATTACAAATGGTTAACTCATTTGAAGAAGACCAGAGACTATGTTGAAGATGAAGCCTGCAGTGGCAGACTATCCACAACAATTTGCAAAGAAAAAATTAATCTTATTTATGTCCTAATTAGAAAGAATATGATTATAGCACAAACAATAGCCAACACTGTAAACTACAATTTGTTCAGCTTACACAATTCTGACTGAATAATTAAAGTTTAGCAGACTTGTGACTCAGATGCCAAAACCTTTTTGCCCAGATCTGCTTCAGACAGCAGCAGAGCTTTCAATGAAAATTTTAAACAAGTGCAATCAAGATCCTAATGCAATTTTTCAAAGAATTGTAACAGAAGATATAACTGGCTCTACCAGTATGATCCTGAATATAAAGCAAAATCAAAGCAATAGCTACCAAGAAATGAAAGTGATCCAGTCAAAGGAGTATACTGTATACTGGTCAAGAGCGAAGGTCATGGCAACAGTTTTTTGGGGGGTGCTCAAGGCATTTTGCTTGTTGATTTTCTGGAGGACTAAAAATGATAAGATCTGCTTATTATCAAAGTGTTTTGTATATACATTGTATACAAACTATATAAGTAATTACATATATAAAACATTGTATATAACTGTATAAGTAATTATGTTAATTTTTATAGAACAAAGATTTTAAAATTAAATGCAAATTTGAAGTAAAATTAAGCACAACTGTAATCCTAAATTAAATATTGACATATTAATATGTATACATCCAATATTATTCCCTTTCAAAATTGTTTTTAAGTTTTCTTTTTGTTTCCTGTAAAGGTCTAGATGCAGTGACTAATCTTTTAGCAATAAACCCCTTTGTGTTCAGGCTGTAATCTCTATTTAGAATTTATTTATCCAAAAACAAGGTTCTTTAAATAAATAGTGGGATATGTACAATATGAAATTAGAATTTTGTATTAAACTAGAAACCAAGAAAATACTAATTACTACTGGTTTTGTGCCATCAGGAGACAGACACCAATGAGAACTGGTTTCCACTAGCCATATGAATCCCACAAAATCATCTCTGGACTAATGTTAACAAAAAACCTAATCTAATCTAGTTTCTAGTTAATTCACTTCAGAGTAATCAGGTGGAAAAAATCTTAAATGACACAACAGGGTATGATCAGCAAAATTAGAATGTGAGAGATGTTCTCTGGGGTGAATAAATGAGAAGAGAAGACAAAGAAAAGGTCTCTCATAAAGTAAAAGACAAAATGCATGCAATATATGAAAGGGTTGATTTCTGATTTGAACAAATATACTTTAAAATACATATCTAAAAAATTCAAGGATAAGTGATTGATAGACCTATTTGAATATATTAAGAAGTTGTTAATAGTTTAGGTGCTATGTTATTATTATGGTAGCATTAAAATATGTCTTAATTCATCAATATGTACTAAATTATTTATGGATGAAATAACATTGTTTCTAAGGTTACTTTCACCTCCAGTTGTGGGAAGGTGATGGCTGGAGAAAGAAGGAGATAAAGATGAAATAATATGATGATATATTAAAGGATGTTGGAGAGTAATCCTTGGCGTGATTGTACTATTCTTTCTACTCATGTGTGCATGTTTCCACAATGACAAGTTAAAAATAAATAAGCAAACTAACTATTGAACTGTAAACCAAATAAAACAACACAACAACCAATTGAATAAGAATCTTTCCAACTTGAATCTAAGTGTTTCAGGAGTTCCTCAAGTAATTTAAGCTTTCAGGCAAAGGTAAGGACCACTGCTAAGGAGCTACAAGGTGGACAAAGTTAATATAACCTCAAGAAACTAAAATACCTGTTGACGTAAGCAGTTTTGACACGCTTTAGCTTTTTTGTGATGATGATTAGTAAATGAGATTTTCTTCTGTTTTGTGTATTTTAGGCACTTAAAGCTGGTAATAAGATAATATCTTCAAAAGAAGGCTATTTTTTCAGCATCAATGAAGTAACTGAGACAAAATCAATTGTATAATACTTAGCTCATCATTTTGTGGGCTTTTTAAAAGAATTAAAAATTCTATGTAGTAAGAGAAAATGAGAATAAGAGCCTTAGAAAGAGTTAATAGGGTATGTGTGCTTTTCCTTAAAAGTGGATAAAATTAAGTTGTACTTCTTTTCAAAACAACTGCAGGAGTCTTTATGGGAAAATTATGAGATATTGGCTGGTGTTGTTTGAAGTTTATGGAATATATGGATTTATTTTCAGATTGTGTGTGGACAAGTGTAAATAAAAATGACTATGGTATAATGGCTTGAGGTGCCCAAAATTAAAAGGAAAAGAAAACAAAGAAACAAGAAAGAAAGTTACTACTACTAGGGGGCTGGTACTATCCCAGTGGACCAAAGACCTTCCTGTTTACTAGGTCCCAGATGTGAACTTGCTGGGAGATATTAAGAGGAATTCTATTTAGAAATCTCACCTAGAAGGCAAGGAGATCTCAGTGAAATGGTAAACTGCCAAATGCCCAGGACTCAGGAAATGTTAAAGAGCAGTTGCTTGGAGCAAGTATGAAAGCCATATAATTGCTGGTCTCAGGAGCTTTGTCAAGAATAACTATAAAAAACATCTCAGAGAATAAAACTCAGCAACTGAACATCTTGCACCCACAGGCATCAACACCCAGAGTTGGGGACCTCTCCTGCTTCTTTCCTAATTCATCCAAGAGAGACCAAGATCTATGGTTGCTGCAGTGCTTTGGAGTGAAAGCATAGCAACCAGCTTATAAAGCCTCCCTATCCAGCTTAGGCCTTCAAGCTTAGGTTAGGTTTGAGTTGTGGAAGTGTCAGAGGCATTCATATAAGAACAATTCCATCTTGGGTAAGGGCTAGGAAAATGAGGCTGGGACTTGCCGGGCTGCATTCCCAGAAAGTTAGGCATTCCTAGTCCTTAAATATTTAAGCTTAAGGAAACAATAACATTTACTAAACAGACTCAGACTTTGGAGTGTCCTAATATTCCAATATCTTGAGAACAAAGGAGTTCCTAATTTTGGTTTTAAAATAATATTGATTCTTGTAAAATATAGTGATTAAGAAAATTAATCATTTATCACAAATCCTTGTAGCAGAGCACATCTGCCCATGATACTTTTTTTTTAATTTAATATATACAAGCATTGTACCTAGGATGGATGTGTCCCTCCTCTTACTTTTGGGAATGCCCTACTCTGTCTGGAATAGCTGTACTTTCACCACTTTATTTTCTTAATAAACTTGCTTTTCCTTTGCACTGTGGACTCACTCTAATTCTTTCTTTCTTGAGATCCAAGAACTCTCTCTTGGAGTCTGAATCAGGAACCCTTTCCTGTAACAGAAGGAGATAAACTTTAAGATGTTTTAAGTGTTTGGAGCATTAAACCATGGACCTATGTAAGATAAGTAAGTGCTTTTGCTGATTAACCTGATACTATTTTTGTGACTGAATAACATCTAAAGAGCAATTGGTCCTGTGTAAGATTTCATTCATGTTTGGAGAATATGAAGATAAGAAAGAAAATATGTAAAAGGAAAGGAAAATATAAATTACATTGTGTTTGCTATCTATTTAGAACAGCTCATTTAAAATTTTTATAGGAAATTATAAATATGTAAGTGAAAAGATATATTTATCTAAGATCTATTTATGTAATATATAAAATAACTAAAACATTCAGAATATAGTTTTAATATTATTTTCATTTGCCAAAATATAAAAGCATATATCCACTACAGTGTCTAAGAATTTTTAATATGAAAACATTATATACACTTCTATGAGGCTGTGTGTGTATATATGAGTGACAGAGAAACAGGCTGCATGAGGCTGCATGATTCACTGAAGAAGAGAAAAATGTGGAAGAATATAAAGCACACCTGGACCTGAATCCATTGGTGTTACATAGAATGAGTTTTCGGCCTCTCATCATGAAAATTCACAAAGGGTGATTGTGGGTCTGATCTCACATATATGAATCTCTAAACCACTGTTCTACAAAGACACAGAAAAGGATCAACCAAATAACAGCAGAGGAGCCATGCTGGCATTCAATGAATGCACTAACTGCTTTTTTACAGTGTTCTTCAATGTGTTACTTCTGTCATGCTGAGACCTGCATAAAAATGAAATGTCATACTTCACTACCCTTCCAGCCAGTGGTACAGTTTATTTTCTTGTCTTCTGATAGAGTTCACAAATTTAATAACTGCCTTTTATCCTGGTCTCTATATTCCCTTTCAGCTTCCTATTCACTCTTCTCTCTCTCTGCAGGCTTGCAGGAAATGCCTCATTTTAGGTTTTCTATGAAGGACATAATAGACAAGAAAAGCAAAAGCGAAGAGGTTATTATCTTTCATTTAGAAATGGACAAGGGGCAATCAGACCATTTTAATGGAGGCCGAGTGAAAAAAAAAATCTTTTTGCTATTGTGATATTTACTGTGCTCTTTAGATTGAGACAATTTGTGCCAGAATAAATTGAGTAGTTTATGTTGAAAAGCGTATTATGGTTCTTTTAATCAGTGTCCACTCTGAAAAAAATAATTTATACTTAATAAAAAAATAATAATGGGGTTATTTTCGGGGAAATGGTGATAAAATTGGACTTTTTTTTTAGCTAATTAACAAATACAGTGATGGATTTGAGTGTTTCTGCTTTGATGCATGTGTCTATAATTAATAATGACTTTGCAGGTCTCCACATGTTTCCTAAATAACAATGACAATATCATTAATGAGATATATTATTATACAGGATTTTTGGAAGTTGGAAAATAATAGAGTAAGGTTCAGGCAATATTTCTAAAGCTATATCATCTGCTGGTGGAACCAATAATCCTTCATTTACATTCTCATTACAGATTGAATAGGCAAGGCACCACCTTCTTCTGAGTTGCTTTTAAAAATGCAGGCAAGCGCATTACTAGCAAATTGCAAGAGTGAGTTTGTAACTAGACATCTTTGTTCCTGTCCCATGTTCTACACCTTTCACCTCTGATTAAAAACACAGCATGTGAGAATGAATCATTGTTAATCTTAGAGAAAATGGTTTCTAACACTGAATTATTTAAATGCTAATTGCAGTGCTTTGCCTACAAATAATCAACCTCAACCGGAACTTTTAACTAGATGATGTTTAATTCTCTTTCAAAATACCAAGTGGCTCTCAATGCTTCCATAGTTCTTGCATCCCAATAAGTAAATATCAGAGGATGTACTTTAGAAGAAGCATGAGATTGAAAAATGCTGAAATTAATTTTCTATCATTCTATTCTTACTCTATAGCAATAGATTGCAGGATCACAGTTATCCTATGTACTTCTAAAAATTCCAGTACTAGATACATTTGGCATGATACTACTCTAATCATAATTAGAATTTCATCTGAATTTATTTCATGCCATTTTATTTTTTTCTCTTACAACACTAAAAACAGTGAGCTTTGTGAGA